GAATTTACGAACTCTGAGTCGAGATCCTCTACGTCTATCGACATTTTTCCAATACAACATTTCCAAAATCTCAACGGTAACTTTCCACAATTTTGGCCGATCAACTTGCTACCAATCCATAATTAATGCCAAATCCACAGTAATAAATATCAAATTTGCCCCTTCACGTAACAAAATTCCTTCCTCAAATCGATAACCACAGGACATGAAACTTTTTATCGCAAGTTATTTAAACTTCCGAAAACCCTTGATAAAGAACCGTATGTGTATCCAAGTTATAAATACAGCCAAAATCTCAATGCTTTCTTAAGGTATTTATCAGGTAAAAATATCACAAGCAGCTATATACATATGTTAGATCCCCCGAGAAATTAGATTTTCCTCTTACGCACACTCAAGACGAACGAAATATCTAGATAATCAATAAACAATTGGCCATTGTCGATTCACTTGGTAGATTTTCCCGTTCCTTACTGTGTAAGAACTAATGCTTTTATATATAGAGAGTTCAATTCTGTAGAATAAGTCGTTCCATGGCCCATTGAATGAAAATAAAGGGCATATTTAAATGGCTGGTAAGGATATGCACGGAAGATTTAAATATTTACTAAACCTAACATTCATACACAGACATGTTATTACCTGCCTAATACTTATAATAGCATTTTTTTTTTTAGATCTTGGCGTCCTTTGATATTCGAATCACTGCTGATCTTTTCTGTATGTCTTAGTCCTTAATGTGCAATTGCATAATATTTGGGTTTTTTTTCCAAAATAAAAAAACTTTTAAAACTTCTAATTTTAAAAGTGCAAACCAGTAGTACATGAGTGTTAAATAGCTGTATATATTTCCTTCCTAAAGACACGTTGTTTTTCATGTGATTTTCGTGAAATGAAGTTAAGATATACAAACTGTTAACTGTTAGAAAATTTGATTTAATGATTTAATCAAATGTTCACCTTCTGGAATGTGCTACTTAATAAATACTTGATTAACACGAATAGCCTAAAATTTTGAATTGAAAACACATTTTAAAATAATAGATGTGTAATTTTTTTTCTCAATGTCAAGTTTTCCCATACATCAACTATTTTACATGTTTAATGAGAATTTGAAAATCTAAAATAAAAAATTGAATCAAAGAGGGAAAAGAAATAAAATGCTTAAAAATTTTAGGGTTTTCAATTTTAGTTTTGATATATTTCTTTAAACATCTTTGATTAAGGAATTTTCATTTATCTGTGCAATCACAATTTCGGCATCTGTACAAAGAATGTTTCAGAAAATGAAATTAAATACAAAAATGTATGTTTCTAAAACTCAAAAGCTTATTTGCATGGGGAAGGAAAAATAGTGGACTAAAATATAGCTCTTCTGCGTTTTATTTTTCCTAGCTCTATCCCCAGTATTCTTTAACATATTACTTTAAGTTGATAACATTTTCTCGAATATTATTTAAAGATATCTATATTCATAAAGTTAGGATTTCAGTACGCATAATGATTATAATTCATTTTAATGAAATACACACTTTTTTCGATGTCTTTTTTTTTTTTAATGAAATTAATTCTAACATTTAAATAAAACACTCTATTCTACGTGATTTAGTATATAAACGTCTAACGAAAATTTGAAGCAGCACTTTATAACGAAAGATCAGCTACATTGTCTTTATACCAATTGGTCCGTCTGTCATACTATCTTCTTTTTTAAACTTCTCTTACATTTTATGCAGCAGCCAGGCCGTCTTTTGGAAAATAGACAGATGGTGTCCTTGTCATGTGAAAGAGGGCTTAGGACTTCATTTTCTTCCTTGTATGAATAATATTGGACCGAAAAGGACATTTTTAAAACGGTTAACGTTTTAAAAAACGTAAAGGATGTTTTTCTACAAAGACCCGGTTTCCAAAATTCTTACATTTTACACAGTAACCATCGTAACTTTTTGAGTATGATTGTTGGGGTCCTGTAGATGTACACTGAGATTTCGGAATTTTCTTTCTGTCTTGTGGGCAATTTGGGTTCGAAAAACAACTTTATAACAACTATATACCTGTACAAAAACCTGGTTGGTATAACCTCTCTTAAATTTACACGCAGTATTTAGATTATCTTTTTACAATAGGGTTTTTGGTTCCCGAATTTTCATTTTTATTTTCGTCCAGGAGGCTAACTGTGGCCCAGAAATTAAAAGCGCCTCTTAAATACAAAAATCCTATTTCCAAAGACCATTTGGGAAAAAAAATTCAGATTTCGTTTAATTCTTTAATTTCAAACTGGTAATTAATTTATATTGTGCAATACTATTTATGTTTATTTAAATTGTAGAATTTTAAAATTGCACTTGGTACCCATTAACGAAAGAAAGAACATTTCGGGCAAACATACTTTAAGTTTTATGACAGCATCAAGTTTACATTGGAAATAAAGTTTAATCTTAAAATGACTAAACCTCTGTGTTTTAAAAAATATAATATTTCGGGTTGAACCTCTGCTTCTTCAGTTTACCTTTCAGTATCATTTAATGTCAAACCCAGCAGTGAAATATTAAATAGGATAAAAAAAAATAATTAATCTAGACAGGCAGGTCACATGAAAAGATATAATTAGAAATAGTCTTGTGATGAATGTCTAGACTTTTTAAGAGGCCATTGAAAATTGCCATTTCTGTTACATGTAGTCTTTTTTTCTCTTTCGCTTTGGTATGATCTTGTGATCAACAGTGAAATGGTAATTATAAATAGGCAACCATACAAAATATTTTCAAATTTGAACATATCTGCGTTAGTTTAATAGTCATTTTATTAAGAGATATTCAAACTTTCCATTTTTTCTAAATATCTACATTTAATATTTATATTTCCTTCATCCCAGTTAAAAATTAATGCTGTCAAGACAGTAATTCACGTAAGCAAAGTGTTTTTTTTTTTTTTTTTTTTTTTTTTTTTTTTTTTTTTTTTTTAATTTTTTATCCTAAATGCGCTCTAGTTCTCATCTGGGTAACTAGTGAAATATCCACAATAATTTTTTTTAACCGGTCCCAAGGATGTAAGTTAAAATTTTGAAAAATTACATATCTACAGGACAACCAACCATATTCCAAATTTTATTTAGGTTTTCTTATTTTGCACCTATTATATTCTAAAATGATTTGCCTAATGTGTAAGAGGAGTTCTGGGAAAAAGGTTTTGCAGAAAAGAAAAACTCGTTTTTCAACCAGACGTAGCCTCCTTGTTGAATAAGACAACACTGAAACATTTATAGGACACCACTAATCTCATTTCAAAAAATATTTGTCTGTTGCTTAAAATGTAGAAGGGGTTCTGGTAGCCGGGGACCCTGATTTGATAAAAAAATATATATATATATGACTAAGGCAAAAATTATATTTGGTACTGAATTTGTTTTTCATTATGCTAATCTTAAAAGGTTATATAAAAAGGTATCTTCATAAGAATTTGGAAAGATATTCTTAGACAGGAATTTTTTTTTATAAAAAAAAAAAAAAATATTCGGTAGTTAATATTAGATGTAAGAATCAGCTAAAGTTGTAGTCCTTGGCATTTTGTTATTGTTGTTTTTGTTGCTAAATGAGCCCAGATTTTTCGTAGAAAAAGTTTTTTACCCTCCAATCGGTCTCCAGAATGGAAATAAAAACTGAAAACTTATTTTACATCTACAAGACACCAGCAATCATATTCCTAATTATGAAATGACTACTGCTTAAATATTTTTTTTAATCGAAATTTATAGAAGATGGCGCGACGGACTGATGGGTGAAAAGGGATAACAACAATATATTGCCTAAATTGTCTCTAGAATGTGTGGGTATAAACAATTATTTTATGTAACAAGAAAAAAACATTAAATCACAAATCGGCTCAAGAAAATCTTTTTAACCTAAAATGATTTCCTAGAACTAGCTAATTAAATGCACATTTTGGAAACACATGTAATTAAATTGCTACTTAACAAATGTTCGGAAAAAGATACGACGATTTTACTTTTTAATAGTTCTCATTCTCGCATTCATGATTGATATATTCTTTTGTAGTATTTAGTTACTCCGTTTTTGCGCACATAATATCACTAGGTATGTTATGAATTCAGTTATCAATACGGTTTTGGAGGAATTGAGTACCATTCCCGCTGAATTGTCCTCCACGTTTTTTTTTTCAGCCTTTGGCATGCTTTTTTTTTTCTTTCCTTTTGCATGTTTTTTTAAGCCTTTGGGTTTTTTAAGTCTTTTTATTTCACCTTAAATGTTTGAGTTTCATTCAGAATGTATTGCCTTTGAAAAAATCATAAGGAGATAGTAAAAGATGTTGGTACAATGTGTACTTGCTGAGTGTTTCCCCAAAAAAAATATTTATATGCATTATTTAGCAGAATGCCATAACTCAAAAAGCACAAAAGAGTTTCTCGGACGAAATGTAGTTTCAACGCTTCTGTTTCCCTGGAACATTCCTGAATCAAACCCATATGAAAATATTTGGGGTCAAATAAAGAAGGCCTTACTCAAAACATACGTACAACTTATAAACTTAAAGATATGTGGAAACCTCTCTAATGAGAAATGTGCTGAATACCAAAAGGGTTACGTGAAAACTTAGTTCATAACATGCCCAATTGAATTAAAGCTGATATTCGGTGCAAAAAGGGAAAATCAAACATCAATTATGAATATAAGAACCAATTTAAATTGCAAAACTCATCATATATTTTGTTTGCACCTTTGTTTAGTTGCAATATTTTTTTTCCAAAATGTGCATTTAAGTAGTTCATTAAAGCATGTAAGGTTAAAAGTTCATGTTTTGTTTTGGATAACACAAAATTTTCACATCTACCATAATACAGAATATACTTAAATGATCGTAGGAGGAACGTTAAATATGTCTTTTTTAATTTAAATTCTTCTCGCATCTACAACAAAATTTATGCCAAAATAGAATTTTTTTTCTCACCTTTGGTCGAAATTGTCAGAATGATTGACAAGAAGTATGATTTTTACGTCCATTTTATTAACATTTCATTAATACACAACAATAACAGCAACATAAATCAAAGTTATATATAAAGAAACCCAATTAATATAAAACGTGCAATAATTAAATAAGTGAATCCATTGCTAAGGTTAACTATTCACAGACCGGAATCTCGATCTCCACAATGCAGTACACTTGTTCAAAGCACACTTGAACGTAAGTTAGTAACATGAATATATGAAAAAAGATGTGAAATGTCAGATGAAGTATACGTCAGATCATTACCATGTAGACATGATTAACACATTCACGTAAGATGAAAAACTCTTTGTAGAATGATTTTCATATCTAATATTATTCAGTTTAAATCAGATGAATCCCAACGTATTGTGGCGTTTGTGACTTTCTCTTTCTGAATTCTAACAAACATCGAAACGGTGACGGTGGTTACTCAAATTTATTTTCCAGTCCCTTGATTTTTTAGACTAAAACTAAGTTTATGAACTTGTACATGTTTGCTTTTAAGGAAATCATAAAGATTGTTTGGTACTTGTGTCGGGTTTTGTAGGGCTTGTTGCATTGGTTGTACCACTTGTTGCATAGGTTTTTGTGGAGCTTGTTGCATTGGTTGTACCACTCGTTGCACAGGTTTTTGTTGAGCTTGTTGCATTGGTTGTACCACTTGTTGCACAGGTTTTTGTTGAGCTTGTTGCATTGGTTGTACCACTTGTTGCACAGGTTTTTGTGGAACTTGTTGTCTTTGTTGTGGTACAGTTTGTTGTACAGGTTTTTGTGGAGCTTGTTGTCTTTGTTGTGGTACAGTTTGTTGTACAGGTTTTTGTAGAGCTTGTTGTCTTTGTTGTGGTACAGTTTGTTGTACAGGTTGTTTTACCTGTTGTTGAACAGGTTGTTGTAAATTCTGCTGCATTGGCTTTTGTAAATTTTGCTGAACAGCTCTCTGTACAGTTTGTTGCACTGGCTGTGGACCGACATTAGAGGGAACTTGGTTGGCAACGGGCATTGGTCTGCTAAAGCGGAGTTGATTTCTAGCTGGTTGTGGGGAATTTAAATTGTTTGGTACTGGCTTAGGGAAAGACATTGGTGGCGGTGCTCCGGAGAAGATATTTCTTTGTGGAACTACCCTTGGTTTTGGTGGTTGGGGTTGTGGACCACTCACAGACGGGGACGGGCCCATCTGCTGACGAGGTGGAGGTGCAACATTAAAAACAGGTCGCTGTGCAGGTGCCTTTGGAGGTTGTGATGGATTTGTTGCTAATGGAGCGCCCTTTGCAGGCCCTGGCTGTGCTACAGGACCAGAATTAGCTGGAACTTGTTGTGCAACTGGTGCTGCCGGCACAGCAGGTGCTGGTGCCACTGTGGTGGTTGTGGTTGGAGCTGCGGTGGTGGTGGTAGGCGCTGGAGTGGTAGGAGTAAGATTTACCTGGAAGGCCAGATGAGCCATGTTGTTTGCCGTATTATTATTACAGGCGGGATCTGAAGCTCCTATCATGCAAGCTGCTCTTTCCTGTTCGCATGGCAGGGCGCACTCCTGAAAAGCAGTAACCATAGCTGGATCTTCCGGAGGGAATTCGTTTCGACAATCAAGTTCGCATGGGAACCATTCAGACATACATTCCATAAGGCACATTGGTGGCTGCGGGACTGCTGGGGCTTGGGAGAAGACGATCCCCAACACAGATGCCAGAAATACTAGAACTTTTTCCTGGAAAATGTTCATATTTTAAAATACAAATATACTAATGACATACAAACAGTTTAAGAGTCTTTGGAACATTGCCAGTCAAAAATTTTTTTTAAAATTATTTACGAAACCGTATGTAGCACATCTGAAGTAAATGATGGTTAAGATATTTTCTTTGGAAGCGGTTAAACACATTTCATGGTTCTGGATACGTAAAATTATTGTTCAAGCTTGAACTTTTGGCAAGAAAGTTATTTAAAAAATATAATTCAAATATAAGCCAATTTTCCCCCAAGTTATAACTCTATAAAAGACCTAAAATAGAAATTATGAACTATAAATATAATTTATATTACCAATTTAAAAATCAGAATACAGAAATTTATTGGTTAAACTTGAAGTCGTGGCAAGAACATGTATTTTAAAATCTTACATATAACTCAAATATACGTCTTCTTATCCAAGTAATGATATAATGTAATAAAGACCTAAAGTAGGAATTATGAAATATAAATTTGTTAACTTTTCAAAACATATAACTATGTACAACAATTAACACTTTTTTCTTACCATGTTTCTGTCTTCAGCGAGAGTAAAACCAGTTGTGAACTGTTTTCGTATGTGTATCTAATATTAATATTCTAGAGACTTTTCACGAACTGTCAAATCATAAATATTCTTGCGCCTAAGTATCTACCTTTTCATCTTGTATAATAGACCCTGGACACACTCAGAAAAAAATCTCTTTTTTCATCAATTAACAATTCAGAAAAGTTAATATTCAATCAGTTAAGAGTCACGATTTCCATAATTACGTGATGGGTTTCTCATTTTTTTGAATAAATTATTTTCGAATTTAACAATGAAACATGTTTCTGTGTGAAAAGAAACACCAATCCTTGATATTTTCTTACTAATTACTTTTAATTTTTCTCTGTGAAAATTAATGGTTACTTCCAAAATTAGTTTATCCCATGACAATTACAACACAGTGCATGTTTCTCTTACGCTATTGACATCGTGCTAATTGTATTTTGATTGCATCATTAAATTTTACGCGTAATTTTGATTGCATCATTAGCATTTCCTCATATCTAAAGTATTTTGCACTGAAATCAACTGTGCACGTCATAACTAGAAAAGAAAGTATATAGCGAAGTAATTTATTACCTTTGTCATTGATGCTGCAATTACAAGTGTAAATTCTAAAGAATACAGTCAAACCTCGTCATCTCGAACTCGATGGGACCGAAAACTTCGAGATATCCAAGGGTTCGAGATATTGTGGGTAAAATACATGAAGCAAAAGTGGTTTGGACTTCCAATCGATTTCGACCTATCCATGGTATTCTAGATATCGATGTTCAATACCAAAGTTCAATTGTATATACTACTGAGGTTTTCACACTGGAAAAATTTATACCATATTTGCTTTTTTACCCCTAATTTCTAATCATAGAAATCAAATAAAGCTTCAAAGTTGATTATCTTATATTCTGTAAACCAAAATTTTAGCATATCCGAGATATGAGGTACTCAGTAATTCTGTGCAAATTGTTTGTTGAAAAATATTTTTCGAGATATTACAAAATAGAACTATACTTCCATTTTCAAACAAATCTAAAAAAAATAAAAAAAAAAATGATAATAATTTGGCTACATATTTGTTTTTGGTCTACGTAGCAAATAGAACTACATGTAATTCCATTTTCAAACAAATCTAAGAAGAAAATACACTGGCTACATAATTTTTTTTTGGTCTCCGTAAGTACATTTGTAAAAGGTGTCTTTTTATACGTGAATCCACAGAAAATTGTTGCCATAAAACTTATTATAGGAGCTCATAAATCATTTTTTTTCGTTTTTATTCATTACCCAAGCTTTAGAACAGTTAGAAAAAGGCATCAACAATTTGGAGGTGGGTTGGAGGGGAGGGTTAACGGGTCTATGCGACTTAGATTAAATTGAAGACCTACATTGTGAAAAAAATATATACTTGACGAAAAATAAGAAAACATCGTTCAGATGTTCGGGAATATTGTTCATTTCAAAAATGGTTCGCTGTATTCATAACATTAAAATTCTTGTCTATTTCAGATGTAATTGTGCAGAGAATGTGTATATTTCCCTGATTTCTTTTTTTTTTATTTTGATGCATGTGACATACATATAAGATATCATACCTTTTAGCTTAAGCATTTACTTAAACTATTTTCTAATTCTGGCGCGTCATTGTCACGATTAGAATTATATATTTTTTAAGTATAAATGTCATTAGATATGCAAATAAAATGGCATTGCTGCAAAATCAATGACATTTTAAAACAGGTTCTTGAAAAAGAATAAATCTACTGTCAGTTTACACCTACAAGAGTTTTTCATAAAAAGACATTTATTTACGTTTGAAACAAAATAAACATAATACGGAGTGCTAGCGAGGGACCCACCATAAAGAAAATGCAACAATATAATATGTATTTTGGAACGAACGCAAAATTAAATTGCATGACTGTCTCATTTATCATTATCTAACAAAGATCTGTTTGTTTTGAATTGCTTTTTATAAAAATCTTATTCACTTTGCTTTGTATATCAAAGCGTTTTTGTGTGTGTTATTTACACTTGCATATTTATAAATTTGATACGAGTTTCTGTGTCTTTCTGTTGTCAAAGAGATTAATCAAACTATTTTTGAAATCTTCTAACCACAAACATATCTTATATTTCAGGAATTTTTTACTTTTCTGACAAATATAAGGTAACTGCGTGAATGACATACACGTTTTAGATTTTTTTTTCTTTTCTCATGTTTGTTGTTCTCGGATTTAGTTATCATTTTTAATTTGTGTATGTGGTTGTGTGCGTGTGTGTGTTTGGGGGGGGGGGGGCATTTTTTCAATGCATTGTGCATCTTGGTTGTTTTTTTTTCTTTCTTTTTTTTTTTAATTTTTGGTTTGCTTGTTTATTGGTTTGTTTGTTGATTTGATTGCGTATACCTTTCTGGAATTTGAATTAGTTTTCTTATTTGTTCAAAACGGATGGAAAACAAACACAGCAAATGTATCTATATACACTATTTATTGCAGCCCGGAGGACCGGGCTGCTCTATACATATAAGTTTAAGTGTTGGTATATGGGGATTGAGGTGGGAGAAGTTATTCAGAATTAAAGGTTTTCTAAACATTAAAAAGATTGTTAATCAGAATGTTCTTTCCCTTTATAAATTACGAGATACACAATAATTTTACTTCCATAAAGTGAATCTGTAAAAATATATATATTTTTCATATTTAATATATAAAGTTGCTTATCATTTACTATCGAAAAAACGACAGGTCCCTTTTTTTAGAACATCGAATTATACTTATCGCATAAAAACGTAAAAATGTACTTTACACAGTTCGTGTTTTATATCCTTAAAGTGAAAGACATTTTTGAAAATAGGTGATGCATGTGTCTGGTTTCAAATTATATTTTATGCAGCCAACATTTACTTGAGGAATTGATAAAGTTTAAAAGGGTATCGTTTTTGTTCGATTTTCATCCGACTATAAGTTTTCAAAATATTCTCGACTATCGTCTCCATCATTTAGACGCATGCCTTTTTCACACATATCGAAGCGGTTTGATGATCAAGACTCATTTCCATTGTTTACTTTATTTATTTCCCGGGCGACAATTGATGGTTACATCAATGTTTTCTTGTATATATATATAAGATCATAAATTCTACAATTTATATAATCAGAGCTTTACCTCAATGAAGAGGGAAACACAAATTTCAATACTGCAGAACGTGTATACCAAACAGGAGCGGGGGATATTTCCTAGCAAATTCTTTACCACCCGCATACAAAGTGGATTGAGATTTATTTTTGATTTTATTATTTATAATTTTCATTTAAGAATGTTCCATCTTTATGTTTAAAAAGTTATTATATGCGCACTTTGTAAAGAAAATTCTGGTATATTGTTGTTACCCTGGTCCGTCTGATACTCTAATTTCTCCTTCAGACTCCTAGCTCTTACATGCGCAAATGTAGAGGGAATCCAGTACGAACCCCCTCCCCCGGGATTTTCAGAGTTCATAAATTGTCATGTAATAGTAACGAGAAACAACACCTTGCCCCCTCTTAAAATGGTAAGAACAGTCATGTATCTGCCGTAAATTGACTTAGGAAATTGCTTCTATCCAACCCCAATCCCATTCTACGAAATAGGTTTTTCAGGTTTGGCCACTTTTTGTAATTTCCAACTCTGACATTTGTTAGAGAAGTGCCATCCCCCCCCCCCCCCCGTCTGACAGACGAATGAGATTTAATGCCACCTCGCTTTCGCGAAAGTGGGGGGACAACAAGGCATATTAAAGCCTTCTGGCTGGGATTTGATCACATGACCAACCCGTACTTACATCCCGATAAAGGTTTAAAAATGATTGTTTTAATTTCGTAATTAAAATATTCATTTTCACATTGGGGCCATTTTGGGGTGAAAAATAACATTTAATCTACCAGATCTCCTTCACTCTCCTCATATATTTAAACAGTAGTTTATTCATCTTTTAGAATATGATAGTTGGTGTCCATTTGATGTACAATACTTTTTCGAATTTTCATTTTCACCCTGGGGGTCAACTGTAGGTCGAAAAACAACTTTTTTATTATTATTAAAACCGGGGCCTGTATTACAAAGGAACTTACGAATAAGACCAACAATTTAAGCTATTTCCAACATCTTGATTACCCAATATTTCAGATCAAAATTGCTCTCTAAAAATATATTTCAAAATTCTAAAAACTTAAGATTATATAAATTTTCAAAGTATTGATAAGAAAATGATAACTTGCAAAACGATCTTGATCTTGGTCGTAAGTTCTTTTGTAAAACGGATCCCTGGTTCCTAGAACTCCTCTTACATTTTAAACAGTAGCTAATTCATCTTGAGGATGAAAATTTTTTAACATCCATTTAACCAATAGGGGGTCAACAAAAACCTGTTTTACAGAACTATACTACATTTCAAGCAGTAGCCAGTTTATCTTTTGGCATATGACTGGCTGTGTCTAGTGGATGAGGAATATAGGGCTTGTAATTTTCCTTTTCACCCTCTAGGCCAATTGGTGGTTCTCTCAACTCCTATTACATTTTAAGCAGAAGTCAAATCTTGGAATATGATTATGGTGTCCTGTTGATATGCAATAAAGTTTGGAAATTTTCTTTTTCACCCTTCAGACCAATGGGCGTTGAAGCGACATTTTATAGAAAACTGTCTCCCAGAACTCCTCTTGCATTTTATGCATTAGCCAAAATATCTTCTGGAATATGAATGCTAAAATCTTGTACATGTGCATTAAGGTTCCAGAATTTTCGTTTAAAACTGGAGACCATTAAGGCAAAAAAAAAAAAAATATTTCCTTCAAATTTAGACCTACACTCGGCACTCAGGGTTATTGAGCAGCGAGGGTTCTTTATCGTGCCAACGCCTACCGTGACACGGGCCCTCGGTTTTTAAGGTCTCATCCGAGAGACCCGTGACTTTTACTTCTAATGCCGGGCGCTTGGCGAAGGAACAGTCACTACCTATGTTTACGTCTTAGGTTTGACGCGGCGCGGCGAACGAGAATCGAACCCTGGCTTCCCGCGATCACCAAGCG